GTTTCCACGTTCCAAGACCCAAGTTGGTCTAGGACTACATTTGGTAGAGATTTCGCTCCTGGGTTTCTCCCTTTGATGCTTTCTTCATGCCTTTGCCAACGCTTCTCGTTTGGCGTCTGACGTCAGCGCCAGAGTCAAAATAGGGCTCTTACCGTCGGCGTTAGGTAACTGGCATATAAAAGGCATTTGGCCGTAACTTATCCATTCGTTATAGCCCGTCTTTTCAAATGTGCTAACAGTCGCTTGACGAATGCAACGAGGTCGGACCAAAATGTATGCGAATTTACTTTTGTTAACTCGGGGATAAAACTGTGGCCTGGCTTTAGCCAACTTAACGATTTGCTTTGCACAATAATGAATTTATATATATATACATATATATATATATATATATATATATATATATACATGTATATAGGGGTCAGTTCTTGGCCAGGCAACAAGCCAATGCACAGAGCTTTTGGCCAGGACACAGGACACAGGACACAGGACACAGGACGCAGGCTGAAGCACTCGGTCCCTGATTTTGAGTTGTGCAATAAATTTTTATCTCAACATGCGAACCTCGTCGGATTGAGGACGAACGGTAAGGACTTGGGGCACGGGGCCTATGGCGTAGAGATTTGGGACTGAGAACGTGTCGGGTACGATGGTTCTAGAATGGCCACGCCATTGCCGGCACATAAGCAGCAATGGCAGGCGTACACAGTGAGAAACATATCGTATCAAATAGTTTGGACAAAATTCCTGATACTTTTTCACTCCAAATATAGTTTTACAGCAAGAAAATTGACTAAAAACAAAAATCGAGTGCGAGTTTGAATTCAAAGTTGTTCGTTTGTCTGAGTCAATTCGCTTTAATATAGTTGACTTGAGTTAATGACCAATATGATTTTCATGCAAGTCAAAGAACTGTTTACTTGTTTAAAGAATTTGACAAATGTTTAGGCATGTCTTGGCTATAAACTGAGTGTAGAATACTGTGTTTAAATCAGTCACCATTTTATTTCAAGCTTTTTCACTGTGCAGCTGTGCAGGGTTAGGAGGGTGGATCGTGGAAGCGTGGCGGGGCAGGGGGGGGGGATGGGCAGCTATAGGGGCAGTAGGAGGCGTTGTCCGGAATTGTGGCCAGGCCATTAAACAACGCTGTCAGGTTTGAATGGCCAAACCTGAAGCGGCCATTACACAATAGAATTTTTGTTTTTCCTGCTTGTTTCTGTTCGTTTTTTCGTTTTTTTTTTTCATTTTATTTTTTTGTTTTTTGATCTTTTTTTGTTGTTGTTGTTGTTGTTGTTGGTACTTTTGTTGTACTGTAGCCAGTTTCCTCTGTTTCGGAAAAGAGCCCGTGCGTTGTCCTGTGGCGGCCGTTGTTGTCGCCGTTGTTGTTTTATTGTTATTGGCCGTGTGCTATGGGCAATGTTTTAACGCCGAGCTGAGCTGAATGACATCTGGGTCACCTGGCCAACTGGCACATAGCTTATTCCACACAGTGAGAGCGCCACCAAGCTAGTGAGTGCCACAACTATACCACTGTATATGGAACAGAGCCTTGCTATGTCGCAAGATATTCACATATCACCCATCGAGCAGGAGGTTGACCCCAGTGTTTCACATGCCCAGCACAATTGACCATTGTTCGAATTTGTCACGCTTTTAAAACAATTAATAAAGTTTCCCACTTTTAAAATTATATCACGGCTACGAATCTGAAAGGAGGTTATGATGTCCTGCTCCTTAATCGAAACCCATTCCACTATCTTTATATTAACGGCGCATTATTTTTTTCTAGTTTAATCAAACTTACAAATAAATGCAAGTAAATACCCTTTAAGTGAATTCTTCTTAATAAATAATGGATGTTCAAAATAAGTATACATATGTGAACAATAGAGAAATTAAGTGCGATGACAAATTTGTTGACCAAAAGTCATATCAAAAGTGACCAAAATTCTTGAGATAAAAGCTTCCAAGTTTCTAGAAATCTCTATCTTTCAAGATCTTACACTTAAATAAGTTTAATAAAACTGAAACAATTTTCCAGTTCAAGGCCATTTCCCGTTTTTTTAGCAAACATTTTTTGAACATTTTTCAGGGCATCTTTGACCTTTGCCTTTTTACCCTAAGCAGCTTTATAATATATTAATCCGATTCAACAGACATGTAGATTACTACATATAAAACAAGTTTTGTTATGCAAACATTTCAGAAATTTTGATTTCTTAAAAACTAACTTTAAAAATTAAAATGCTATATTTTTTCTTGCTCATTACTTTACTATTTTGATGGATCTTTACAAGAATTGTAAGTACTTAACAAGAGTGCGGATCATATTATCATGTAGCTATTTATCTTCAAACATTATGATCAGGGCATTCAACTGGAACCGTTTACTGAAATTCATTTGCTTAACATTTTTTACGAATCAGCAACCGAATCTGATATTCTCAAACTTTCACAAACTAATACAAAAACCGAATATCGAAAATATGTTTGAAAGAAAATCATAATCTAGCTGAACCTTTGCACTTTACGTACCAAGACCGGAAACGGAAACAAAATTCGTTCAGCTTGACACCCTAACTATAATAGGATTGTTACCAATTATATAATCCTTAAAGTGCCGGAACAGCAAGCTGATTCTTTGTGAATAAAAAGTGTATGCTAAATTGCTGTATTGTCTGAGAAAATTGCTGTTTTTATTAAATGTTGTGGCTAATGTGATTAATTGCACAATTGTTCAACTTTAGTCGACTCATCAAGGATTACGTATGTGTGTGTGTGTGTGTGTGTGTACAACTTTCCTCGCAACGCGTGACAGTGCCATCAAAATGAGAAGCGACGCCATTCATCAGCAACGGTTGCTTTGAATGATTGTTTTCAAATTGCGATTAGGGTTAGATTGAATTCATGTAGAACGACACGTGAACTGCAACAATATGCAAATGCATTAGCACGTTGCCGTTGGCAGGTTGCTGGTCCGATAACTGCGGTCATATGTAGTATTAGTAGCAGTAGTAAGTAGCCCGGCATGACTTTGCATATTGTACAATACAAATAGCATTTTCAACCCAATTGCTGGCAATGGATTGTCTGGCAACTGGGGACTGGACTTAGACATGGCTTTGGGGACTGGGACATGGGATGTGGTATGTGGTACGTGCAACGTGGTGGTCTGGGTATCGACTATTTTAAGTGGCACGCTCGACATGCTAACGGATACCGGATAGGTGGATAGTTGAATAGGATTGCTAGATTGTTGTTAGAGGTTATGTTTGGGTTTGGGTTTGGGTTTGGTTTGGTTGGTTCTATTTTTCCCGACATTTCACATTTCGTGTCGCTAATGTCCCCAGACTCATGTCCTTTGTCATTGTTATTGTAATTGTGTTACTGTTACTGTTCTCGTTACCGCTACAGTGACCGTTACCGTTACGGTTAGCGTTAACGTTAACGTTACTGCCAGTCCCGGCACAATGCCACAAGGCAGCAATAATAACAGCCATGCCTAATGAAAAAGCTCTACTTAGTTGAAAGTGACCGAATAAATTCATACCCTGTACGTAAGAAGAAAGAACAAAGAAAGTCTCTTCTATATATGCTTAAGGCTATCGATAATATTGATATGTTATCAAAGTGCTCTTCAGCACTTTAACTTTCCAGTATACAATATATGCCCATTGGGCGCAAGCTTCTCGCATAATTTTCAATGTTCGATGCATATGTATGGATTGAGTTATTGATTTTCATTGTGTGAGATTCGAAAGTGGTGCCACATAAGTTTTTTCGTGTCATCCGCACCTGCGAAATACCCAAAAAACAAAGCGACGCCCACCTGTCAATCGCCTCAATATCAGCCACATTACATCACATCACACCACAACAGAACAGAACAGAACAGAACAGAACAGAACAACCCACAATTCACACACATATTGGCCAACCAACCAACCAATCAAGCCAACCCGTCATACCTATTGGGCCCAGTGTTGCCACAACATTTTGTAAATCAAAAAAAGCCAAGCCGAACAGAAAATTGTTAATGCTGAAACAGCATTTAAAGTTTCCAGAAAGATATGCCAAATATGATTATAAATCAGATTGGTAGTTATAGATCGGATTAAAAAAAAACAAAAATTTGTTAAAAATTAATTTTACAAAAAATCACTACAGAACTATTTGCTATTATTTCAAGAGAAATTTTTATTTAAAAATAAATATTTCTTATTTCATGTAATTAGTATATATATATAAGCTAAACTTCTGGCTATTATTAGATAGCCAAAATGGCAACACTGTAGACCTCATGTAGGAAAAATTGACATATATATATATATATCTTTATATATATATATATTTGTTTTACAAACACAGACACACACACACACAGCTTAAGATCATGTGCGTGAGTTCATGTTTGCATTTCAATGTTTGCTATCCCGTAGGTGTGCGGTCATCAAGTTTTCCAGCACAGCAGGTTTACCGTTACAAACATACTAACAAAAAAAAAAAAAACCGAGGAAAAAAAACACACACACACACACACACTTGCACATATGTACAGCCACATATTTACACTTATATATATATATATGTATATATGTAAATATTAAGGTATGCTCCCCGCTAGAATCTGTGTTTTTTCTTTTGCTTTTGCCGTTATCTTCAGTGCACTCCACTTCTGCTTCTTCTTCTTATTCTCCTTTCATATGTTGTAGTTTATGAAAGCTTTTTGGTAGTGGAGAGCTTTTCAGCACACAATCAGCTTAGCTATTTTAGCTTATTTTCTGGGGTCTTTCCTTCCCTTCGGCTTCGTCTCTCTTGAATTGAACTCGTATAATCCTTGTGATTAAGGACCTAACACGCACATACCTAATGACAGTCAGCTTACATTTTCGGTAAAGCTTACGATTTGATCCTTTACTTGGATTCGAATTAATTGAAAGTTAATTTGATTAAGATTGTTGTTGTTATTTTTGTATTTTTTGTTGGTTTTTTTGTTGCAGATGTCAATTCAAAAGTTAAACGACAACGCCAACTCGGGCTATGTTAGCTCCGAGGAGACGGACTCCCTGCTAGTATCGAATCCAACAAAGGGCGGACGCACCGCCCTGCTTCGCCAGGTGAAGAATAGCAGCAGCTCCGTCAACGGACCCACATCGAACAATATGGCTTCCACGTCCGGTGGCAAACCGACACTGATGCGTCAGGATCGAACTTCCACATATCTAACCAGTCCGCAACAGTCACAGCATGCACGCATGGGATCCGAGGAGAGTATGCGTGGCATTGTTGTGGCTCATATAGGTGGTGGTGGTGGTGGTGGCAATGGCAACGGACACGACGAGGATATTGAGCAAGGACTGCGTGCCGCGATAGTGCCTGATATTGAAGTACATGAAGAGGACCAAGAACTAACACAAAACACATCAACAACAACATCAATATCAGCTGGCAATGCAACGACCAAACAGCATCAGCAACAACAACAAGAACAACAACAGCAACAGCAACAGAAACCGACCATATCAATTATGAATTTAAGCTTAAAGCCACATGAACAAGGAACGGGAATGGCAATGGGAAAGGGTATGGGAACTGGAACGGGAACGGGAACGGGCACGGGCACGGGAACAGCGACCGGTTCGAGTCATCCAAATTTGGGCACATCATCATATCAGAATTTATCATCGAGTATACCGCCAAGTGCACCAAGTCGATGTCGAGCCTGCCGCAATTGCAGTCGCCGGGCATCGACGACACCCATCTCGACGGGCGGTCAAATCGATCGTTCCGCATCGCGGGACAGTGTGAAAAGTGCCTTCCAACAGGGTAATTTGACCAGCTCGATGGCCATATGCATATCAAATTCAGCCCTCCAACAGCAGCAACAGCAGCAGCAGCAGTTGCAATTGCATCACCAGCAACAGTTGCAGTCGCATCAGCAGCATCAACAGTTGCAACTGTATCACTATCAGCAACCGCAGGTGCCGCCAGTATTAATCACTTCATCGCCGACAAATGGGTCACGTATAATACGCCAGAGCTCACAGCCGGAGTCGAGCACAACGGCCATCTGCTGTGGATCGCACAGCTCGTGCGGACACTCGCACACCGTTCCGAATGTCTCTTTGAAGCAGCTACGCGAAAGCACAACAGATGGCATTGCGGGCATTGCGGCCGATTCCCTACGGATCAATGGCGGCATGCGTCCATTCAAGCAGGTAAACGACAATCTATATATTCATATACATATTTATTCATAACAATAATTATAAACAATAACAAGTAAACAAAAACGGACTACAAAGTACAGTTCATTCTTTGGCACTCCGAACTTTTAATACCCTTGCAGAACGGTTATTTCGATCGACAGCATTTTGTAACTTTGGAAGTGGTCCGAAGTTGATAAGTTCTTTATCAAATGTTAAGAGTAGGCCAACAAAAATAGTATATAAGTCAGGTATTGAGTAAACATTTTAGAAAAAAAATTAAAAAATTAAATTCGATTTTTCTTTTCTTAACATATTCAGAAATTATAGGCACCATAAGCACTAGATAACATTCAATGACCTATTTAATATCTAAAACAATTAGCCTACAAAAAAAGAAGTATGTGAGCGTAAATCAATAATGAAATCACTTATTACTGATTCTTTTGTGGCCATGATCGAAGATATCATCAAAGACATTAACTTTCATATACATAAATAGAGACAGGCAACTATATTAAGCAATATATTTAATGTGGTTCGAGATATCTGTCATTCAATGCGCTGCACAACACACGATAATATTATAATAACCTCTGCAAGGGTTTACTAAATGGCCAAAATGAAAATTGTGTCAAGGTCAATTTAACTGCGTGTGTATGTGTGTGTGTAAATAACCATAGCTAAATGTGTCTGTGCTAGAAGTTAACCTCAAAGTGTGTATATAACCCAATAATCGTGTTACTCCAATTAACTGTCCCTTTCTGTCTCGTACCTTCTCTATTTTAGCATTGTGTACATACAACCATACTGTACACACTGTAAATAGAAATACTTAAATACCTTGAATCTATTACAATACTGAATACCGTGTAGCGTAGCTTGCACTCGATGTTATATGTTCCCAGCAATCGAATTCCCCGTCCAATAATGAAACCGACTTGATTACAGTTGCTTTCAACAGAGCAATTACTTTTAATTGATTTCGGTTGAAATTAAATATGCTGTGATATTGATTGCCAACAATGGCGCTACTTTACAAAACAAGTTGGCAGCTCACAAAATAAAGCCAAGCACTTGAGGAATTAACAGCATTTTCTTCTCCCCATTAAATCAATCTGTCTGCCTATGGGAAGTGTCCCATTTGTTTCGCTGCCTATTAGCCAGCAAATTGATGGTCCTATCTGAAATAGGCCAAAACATCTTAAATAGCAATTTCCACTTAAGACTTGACAGCATTCCTTCTCCTCGGAGATCAATCTGTTGTCTCGCTAGTTATTACTTAAAAACAAAACGAAACAATTGCTAATCGACACTTTGGCCCAATTGAGAGCTTATCTTTTGACCAAGGCCTCTCACATCCCAATTCCCATTCCAATTCCCATTCCAATTCCCATTCCCATTCGCATTCCCATCCAACCTGTCAGTTGTAGTTAAGCCAACGAGATGATTTAAATTATTGTTTATTACTCTTGTTTGCTGGTGTTATAAATTTAATGACTCGCATAAATAAATGATCAAAACCCATGGGTTTTTAATCATCATTTGACCCATATATTTGTACATTTAATATTGGAAACGCGATTCTGGCTCGATTCTCATGCTAAAATTAATCCCTTAAGTGCTTGTTGAAGCTTTTCGCATACATAATTTTGTCAAAAGTGATCCGATCGAAAGCCAGGTCTTCTTAATCATAGCTTGACCTTTATATTAATGCTGCATTTAAAGTTGGATAAACTGAATACATCAAAAAGTGCTTTTAGTTTCCTCGACCATATGTTTGTTAAAAAATATGAGGGCTTCTTACTCATGGTTTCATTTCTAGATTAATACTACATTTAAAGCTGACAACGCTGTTCCGACTCGATTTCCATATTAGAATTGGAAAAAGGGCATGCTCAAAATTTTCCACACCCATAATTTTGTTTTCAAAAGTAAGACGATTTTTAAAACCGTAAAACTCTAAATATAATATATTTGTATTCCACTATGCGATACATTTTATCTACTTAGTTATTATATAGCCATCAATATATATTTTTATAGGTATGTATTTGTATTTAATGAGTTTTAGTTTGCAATAATATTATACTATTTGTAGTTTTAAATGTCTGAACACCTGCCAAATTGTAGAATTAGTTTGTAAGTGCCACTAAGTTCTCCAAATAGCATTTTCAATTTTCCGTCAAGTTGACTTCCATGCATTAAGTACTTAGGTATTATAATAGACACTCAAGCATTTTCATCGTTTTGCTGCCGCTTTCATTTTTCATTTTTCATTTTTCATTTTGTTTTTTTTTCCACTTTCAGTCGCTTTTTGAATTGTTGTTATTATTTTCGTTTTTCTTGTTATTTTCTGTTTGTGTATCTAATTTTTCACATTTTCACGCGCTTAAATCCAATTAGGAAAAATCAATATTGCTCATACGCGACGTTGCCTCAATAATATTAATTATAATATTTTCCATATTTTGCCGATCATAATTAAAACATTTTGTTTACGCCAGCAATAAATTTTTGGGCGTGTTTCGAAGTGATGCGTAAGTGGGTGGTTGGGTGGTTGTGCGTTCGGTACAGTTGCTGAGAGGTTGGCATATTTATTTTGACAGGCGAATGGCAGAGAAGACAGTAAATCAAATTTGAGCGGCCAATTCATGCGAAAATCACTCGTTATCCAAATTGAAAAAGCGTGCTCGCGCCCGAGAAAAACCCGCAATTGATTATTCATATAGCATTTGAATTAGAAATTCGCTCAAATGGCCAATTCGTATTCATATCTCTTTCTTAATATATACATACATTTATTTTTGTATATTTATTCAAGAAATTGAAAACACGCAGCGAAGTCATCAAAATTTGCTTGAATGCTGTCAGTGGCAGTGCTATTTAAATGTTTAAGCGCTTCCTAAATATAGAATTATAATTAGTATTGTAATTAATATCAATAAATTTTGACAGTGTCTGAACTTTCTATTTCCCATTTCTCTGTTTTGTTTCTGTTTCTGTATCAGTTTGTTGTCTGTTTTTTGTTTTTTTTTGTTTTCGTGTATTTCTTGTTGAGCGCCTTTCTCCACGGCTGGCTGTGACCTTAACATGATTGATGAACTTTTTCACTCCTTGACATTTGATGTCGCGTTTTTGTCCCACATACAATTTTTGGTTTATGTATTTTTTGCCCTCACCCAGCTTTTTGGCTGTAGATAATCGACAATTTGTCCAGGAGCTGTTAAAGAAGAAATTAGCTTGTCTGACAAAAAAAAAAGAGAAAAAAGCTTTCCCACATTGAAAACAAAAAGTTTCAAACTGACTGTGGTCGCCGGCGAATGATAAGGAAGAATTGTTGCCATAGCCACCATACTCCTAAAGTATGTGAGGCATACCTCAATCAAAAAATGTAATTTACTTTTGAGCGACAATTACATACATTTGGCTTGAGAGCTTAAAGCTTTCAGCTCTCAATTTGATATGTGGCGGAAGAAAGAGACAAAGCTTCTGGAAGCATGCACACATAAATTGTGTATGCAATTTAAAGTACTGGCAAACCATAAATAAATACTCAACTACCCAGTTGTTTAGCTATGCAGGAACATGCGTGTTGCTGCACACTATTTGCAATAGTTTGTTTGTTGAGCAGAAAGCTTTGGAATTTTACGCGGGCAGCCGTTAGTTGAAAGCTTTTTGTGCGCGAAAGCTTTCGTGGCGGCGATTTCGAAGTTTCACAATAGTTTCAAAAGGTTTCCTCAAAGCTCCGCCTCTCATTAATTATGCAACGCGTCAAGAAAACTTTTCATTCGACTCCACACACACCCACTCACACACACACTGGCACGCGTACAGAGTATTTCTGTGTGGTTGTGTCAGCAAAAAAAAAAAAAATAAATAAAAACAAAATGTAAGCATCGTCGATGTATTTTACTTATATATTTTTTTGTCTAGTAATTCAGATTATTAAATTGCATCATTTTATAGTCATTGTTTCCCCCATTTTGCACTTTGTGCCAAGACACATTACATGCATTTTACATTGCCTACTTTTGCGCTTGCAATAAATCGTGAGAATATATTAAAAAAAAAAAAACTGCTGATTGGCCAAACATTGCATTCGAGTGTTAATTAAATAATTTTCCCGTCTGCTAAATGTAAATGAAGCAATCTGATTTCTGCAATAAACTGACAAGTGAATAATACTGTCGATAATTTTGGGGGTGATTATATTTGAAGTCTATCAGCTAATTACAGATGGCAAAATTATCGCAAAAAAATTTTCGTGTAAATAATCTACAAAATGGGAATAACTAATTTAAATAATTGTCATAATGATGGATTGCGGATTAAGAAGACTTTCTGTCAGGCAAGTGTAATAATAACAACAGTATAATTGATTATTGATTATTGTTATAATTGCTGAGCTTATTTGGAATTTCTAGAACAACAAAAAAGTTGTTTAAGCGAGAACTGAATTTTTTTACGAACTTTACCGACTTAGAAACCATTTTGAAATAAAGGCAGAACAGAAATTTTATTGTTTTTTATTTTCTTTTGGATCCATTGACAGAAGTGCTATTTAATACCTCTATATACATATGATATGATACATAGTTAGATATGTATAAGCGATAATTAGTAAACCAAACTAAAGAAAAGCTCTTAGTGTGCGCGCAAAAGTATGCAATGAAAGGCTTAAGTATATTAAAATACAATTAATTGTTAACCAAACTTCAAACTATTTACCAGGGTGTCAAACTGAATCATATTTCCGATCTGTTCCGGTTCCGGTATGTAAAGCGTAAAGTTTTCGATAAGGGTTATGAATTGAATGCACTTTCTTTTTATATATATGTATATTTAAATGTTTCTTAAAAATATGTTGAATTACGTTTCGGGTTCTGAATTTCAATCGGTGAAGTTTCGGTTTCGATTTCGATTTGACACCCTGCTATTTACTGATTCCACACAATTAAAATTCCATATTATTAACTAAGTCCTTAAATTGTACTCTATATAGTTATATAACCATATACCTAGCTATGTGTACATGTATATCCATGTATGTATTACTATTGTTATTGATTCTAGTTATGCTTAGCGTATGTATATCCTTTACTAGCCGCCTCAATGCCTACTTATGTAAATGCTTAACCTTTATAGTTATGTAAATGCGATAACTCTATTTGAACAAGTTAACCAGGTACTAATCGCAATTCACATCATGATTCTCCTCAGGGCGTTCTTCTAATGCCACGCACATTGTCCGAAAGCCGAAAGTTACGACTTAGAAGGGCCTTCACAGAGGCCACTAACGAAACGCTTCAAAGCTCCAAAATGGTATTTAATCTAAATCTTACAAAAAAAAAAAACCCCTCTCAACCCTCCCAAAACACAAAAAATAAATAAATACATTTTATGGCTATAATTTTCCCCTTTCAGCTTTGATTAGCAAAGTTAAAACTTTATATGTATTGTGTACATACAAAAAAAAAAAAAAAAAATACAAAACAAAAAATAGCAAAATCAAATTTTAAAGTTTTATAGTTGAATTTTGATTCGAATACATTTACGTGGCACCGTTTTCTTCCCAAATGCGAAATACAAAATTTGCCACATTTGAATGCGCCCGTTAACCATTATTTTGAGTAAATACTCATACTTGCATTCGCATTCGTATTCATAGTCATACTCGTATTGTGCTTGCACACACAAATCAATCGTTCAATCAGTCAATCAATCTTCGTTTAGTGCATCCGCCAGTTCATCAAGTTGTAGCTCTTCCAAAATTTAGATGGCAATTTCAAATACTTCAATGCTCCATCGAATGTCGCTTGTAGCTGATTGCCACTCATTCAATCAACATTCGCACGCTCATTCCACTGCACATTCAAATTCACATTTACACATCACATTCACATTAACATAGTGGCTCGTTAGCTGCGTTATTGCATCGTGAATAATAGTGAATATTAGATGCTAAAGAGTATTATAGTTATAAGTGATTGCAAAGGTAAGCGTATATAAAATATTTTATATTGCCACTTTAAGTGTATGTTGCCTGCCGTTACCGTTATGAATAAATACAATGCACTCGTTAATCGTAGGAAGCACCATATAAAACCCAAGCAATATACTGTTATATCACGTACTGGTATATCAGTTTTTTGATTATCTGAAATATATAAAAATGATTAAATATTTTCAATATTCTATACTACCAGGATGTCACATCGAATTGATTTTGGTAAGAGTTAAGAATTGACTTCAACTTCTCTTTGGTATTCAATTCCGTTCTGGTAGCATATGAAGTAATCATATCGGTACCTGTAACTGGTTGTTAAAAAAAGAAAAATTGAATTTTAAAACTGATTCTAAATTTCACTTTGACACTTGGAACACTAATTTTATGATACCCAGTGAAATCAAAATTTTGAAACTGCAATATTTTAACATTTAAAATATAGAATGCTACCCAGATGGGTTATAATTTTTATAGTTTTGAAACAAAAGACATTGGGATTATATGTGTTATTTGACTTCAACTTTATATTTGCAATGAACATGATAATTTCATTGTATAAATATTCGGTATATATTATATTATATATTTTAATGACCAATCTGAAAAAAGAGTCTTAAAAACATTTAAAATTGGAAAGTTTGATAATATCTATTTACATTTATATATATTACGATTACTTTATTATAATAATAACATAGATCAAACTTAATAAATTATAAGCCTGTTTCTTCAAATCTTATATTGATAAATAAATTTTTTAATGTTTTCTTAAGATTGTTGAAAATTCAAACCAGCATATTTTGGCTATTCACTCATATTTGATCAGAATAGAATGTTATTAAATGAATTGAGTATTCTAAAGTAGGCGGAACACTTTGATGTCTTTAATGAGACTATTAAGAATCTTTTCAACTTCCGCACATACTTAAATTTGAATACGCGCCTCAAAATATTGAAATTATTGGTTTCAAAATATTTGGCTATAAATAATTGACAAATTTTAGGTGTATTCCTTGAACTTTGTATATTACTTATAAACTAATATATGTTTTTTGTTCTTGTGCAAATTAAATTGCATTTTCATAATATTGTAAATTTTCTGGAATTTATAGCTTTAAAATTAAGCTAAAAGCGTTTTGTGTAAAATGCAATAAATTTGGCTTATAGCCAATAATTGTTGAATAAGAATTTGTGTATGAATGTACAATGGTACTCATAATTTGTATTGGGAATAATGCCATGTAGAACAAGGTTTCTTTTTCCTTTCGTTGTTGCTGTCGTGTCTCATTTTTTTGACAATGGGAGCAGGCGGTGAATTGAGTAAAATACCATGAGTCATGCTCATTGAGCACAGGGCATCTTCAAGTTCATACAAACCTGTCAGCAGACAAATTGCCATTAAGTTTTGGCCCGGGTCCACTGCCAGCTATCAATACAGAGACAGAGAAAAAGACACAGAGAAAGAGAGAGAGAGAGAGAGAGAGTGAGAGAGAGAGAGAGAGTCCGGCAAGAAAATAATGAGCAGGAAGCGTTGAGTTGCGAGCATCGTTTCAATGACGTAGGCAATCAATTCTGTGTTCCATTGTATTCAGCGTCCATCGCATTTATACACTGAGAAAAAATGAAGCTTATTGAGTCTATTATGTGCATTTTGAGTTTGCGTCAATCATTTTGAAACAATAGTGTAAATTGTAAGAGTTCCTCTTGAAATACTATATAAGCTTATAAAATTGGGTTCTGTAACTGATTCTTAAAAATATGTTGAATTTGGATTCCGTGTCGAAGCTTTACTCGGTAAAGTTGCAACAACCTGGTTGCAAGGGTTTGTTCCTGGGTTCAAATCCCTTATTCGTATATCATTTCTGTCAACAGTCAATCAAGTTGAGTAAACTTGAATGGGGTTCTTTCCAAACAACTAAACTTAACTCGATCTGCTTTCCCATTCTTTTCCAATTCTTTTTTCCTGATTCATTCAGTTGCCTTTTGGCATTCTTGAAACATCTCCGTATATTTCATAAATCAAGAACTTGATTACTTAGAGTAATATATTTTGTATTTATTTTATTTTGTATTTTTTTTTTTGTATTTTTATCTTCTTCCGGTTGAACTTGACATTACATTTCTATGAGTGTACGCACTCTGGGGACATGGAGAGGGAGAGAGGATGGTGGGGAGGACAGCATGTTAGCCAGAGCGGATATTTCTCTCAGCGATCGCTTCGGCTGCTGTTTCCATTCAATGCTCAGCAATCAGCAATCGGCAATCGGTAATCGGGAATGGCCTAATCCGCAATCGCGATCGGCGGCGCGTGCTGCTCGACTAACACAATTAGCGATTGGAGGGGAAAGAAAAGTGCAAGAAAATGGAAAAGGGAAAAGAAAAACTGAGAATTGAATTATAAATATAAAGATTTTCGACTGGGCAAGATCATTGTGTGCGCGACCAGCGGCACCAGGTCTCAACCAAAGAACACACATGGCCAACAAATCCATGCTGGCCAACGCGAATTGAAAAGTCGGCAAGCTTTCGAGCCACAACAAAAAAAAAAAAAAAACACAAATTGAAAAACGGCCCCGCTTTTCCGTTGACCATCTGCAATTGTTTTTACCGTGCACGCGTGTTTGTGTGTGTTTTTTCTTCATTTTTTTTTTTTTTTGTTTACATTTTGGACAATTACGCAGGAAAAATCGATTTGAATAGATTTCGGATTTCGGAAAATCAACAACAAAAATCAACATTAAAACGTTGAGAATTGCGGCTGCAAACGGTTGGCAAGAAAAGGCCAAGGAGAACACAAAATATGCAGTCTTGTGTGCAACAAAAATGTGAACAAAAAAGTGCGCTGATCAATTCAATCAATTGAATCAATCACAAAAAAAAAAAACAGAAAAGAAAAAGGAAATAAGTTTGTTTTCTGTCGTAATTGTTTTGTTTTATTTTGAGTGTGTGCAATTGTTGTTTGTGGCATGTCGCCTGCCTCCTGCATGGAGAATCAATGCAAGGGCAGCCTCTACCCAAAGTGCCCGTGTCCTGGCACGGCTGCAACTGCTGCGAGTGCTGCGAGTGCGGCGAGTGCGGCGAGTGCAGTACCAGGCGCGTACCCAGCCGTGAACAACACTGCAACAATGCCAACAACGTCATCAGCGGCACAGCTGCCACCAGCTATGACGCGCACCAGCAGCGTTGGCGGCGGTAGCGCTGGCGCTGGTGGCGCCACAAATGCGTCACGTCGCACCTCCCTCTGGGTGGAGACACTGCGTCAGACCCGCAAACTTTCCTGTACCAACGACCGGCCCATATCGGTAAGTGGCACACAATGACAACAACAGCAACAACAACAACAACAGCAGACAACAACATATTTTGGGGCCAATCATTGCCATTGACAAATGGGCTTCAACTAACCGCACTAACCGACAACTAGCCATAACTATAACTATGACGTACTTACAACACACACACACACACACACACATATATATATGGATGGATAGATATATATGTGTTCATATATGTACATAAGCATATGACAGATCCAAGTTCTCAATTCTATGTCCACGTTCACGTTTCGCATCCACATCAACATCCACATTCACGTTGCGTGCCCCGCATCGAGTCAACTGTAAAAATAAACAAACCGCGCCAGTTTCGCTTAGCTAGAGACTAGAGACTAGCGACTGCGGCAATACCAAGCAAGTTATTTTCATCCAGAGCATCTGCAGACAACAACAATAACAAAAGCGCACAACATCGAAGAAATCAAAACAACAATAAAAATAAGTAAAAACATCTATTTTAGGCACGCCGAAATTTTCTATACCCTTGCAGACATCTGCTCGTAAATTCACTTATTAATTTCCAAAACTGACCGATTGTGGCCGTGTACGCTACATCTAATTTAGTGGCTATATAGTGGTCCGATCTAATCGATGCCGTTACGTGTATATTTATATAGAAAACGTCTTTGTTTATCTAGATACATATATGTGCATTTATATTTGTATTTGTATTTGTATTTGGATTTGCATTTGTATTTGTTGATTTTGGTGTTTGCTCGAAAACATTTCTTGATTACATTGATGCTGCAAAAAGGAAGTAGAAATGAATGATCGTAATTGGCTATAATTACAGGGGAATCACGATCTTTTCTCATATAGTAAGTAAATAAGTAAATATAAAAGCTGCAAGTGGCAATACATATTAAAACCCTTTCCGTTGTGGTTAGTTATAATACCAGTTTCGTTTACTGATTCTTTAAAAATTTTCAATTTCGTTTCCGATTCCAATTCAATCAGTTTCAATCGGTTAAATTCGG